TTAGAAGTCTTCTTGGGCAAGAATTTCTTATAATCATAGCATGTCATGCTAACTGCAAAGAAGAGCCAAAGAACAAAACAAAAACTATAGAAAACAAATATAAAAAGGATATTGTATCACTACATACCCAGCTCACAGAGGAGATCATCTCCAAACTTATTTACTATTCGACTAAGGTCGATAATACCGAACTCTTTGGCATAACCAACCAGGATAGAAGTCGCCAGTCTCTCCGAGTCGGAAAGAGCTACGACAGGGGTAGTGTAGTCTCGCGGACGTCTTTGAAAATAATTCTGCGTCCAATAAAGCTCAAACCGACACGCCAAATCCCCTCCGTCTAACCATGACGAAGCAAACCAGGGGAGGGAGTCAGAGCGAGCAGCCACTTTGAAGTAGGCATCTTTGAAGCCTTTGAAAGATTGAGAGTAGGCAATAAAGATACCCCGATTTGGAGCACCTCGAAGGGTAACCCAACCTCTCCTTTCCTTAGCCTCGGCACCAGTCCGGGCTGTATATACATCAAACAAATAGAAAAACAGAAAAACTGTACAAGGAAGGCAAAGGTATGCACACACATGCTCAAAACCTCGGATGAAAGCCCAAGAGTTGGGATGAAGTTGCGAAGGAGCAATCCAAAGTCGGCGGATCACGGCCATTTGAAACTCGGAAAGTGGGAACCGAATCCCCAACTTGGTAATCAGATCCCAGTAAAAATAAAAGAAATGAGGCTCGCCCAAGATAGGATGACGCACACTGGATGATCACCTGCTGGAAGAATATCAACCCCACTGGGGTCTCCAACTGGAAGTTGGGCTACATCAGCAGGAGACATCGTATATCGCATGTGAAGGATCTCAAGAAGAACCCAATTTTGGACGTCATATTCTTCCATAATTACAGCCCAGGAACACGAAGGATGAGGATCAGTACAAAGATCAGCCAATTCTGACCTTGGACTTCCAAGATCAGATGGCAATGAGCATGGACTCCAAGAAAAAGGAATGGAGCTGTCAGAACTACTGACAAGATCAACAAACGACATCTGACTTGAAGCCGAATCATCGAAGTAAGGAACAGAGGTATTCGACTTTGGGAATCCCAGCTTGGATGAAGAAGAGTTGGAAGAACTATCGTTCAACCCAAGAGGAGGGATCTGATCTAAAACGTACCTCGGACCTGGGGCCACCTGAGACGATGGCAAAATATAGGATAGAGGAACTGGATCAGAAGAGGAGCTCAACCCAGGAGTTGAAGGGTTCGAGACCAAAAGAGGACCGCCCCTACCAAAACTAAGCTGAGTCTGATGATCCCTTCCTCTCCGACCTCTCCCTCTCCTATCACGTCCACTTCGAGAACTCTGGCGACCTCCTCGAGGACCGCGGGGAAGTAGTTGAAGCTTCTCCTCCTCAGTATATTCTTTACCATAAAACCAATATTGAATGGCCCGAGGCAGCTGTTTTACTACCTCCTCATCCACCTCATCACCTCGGCCGACAGCCGAGCCCGAAGATGATCCAGGAATATTCATGTCCAGCCCCCAAATCACAGTAGACAGAGAATCTCTCCCAAAACTCTCGAATGAAGACTCAAAGCAAACACAAGCTTTTCCCTCACTTCAACTAGGAATAAACACTAACTCCAAACTCAAATAGAAAGGAAATGCAAAAGATAACCGAACCAAAGTTTGAGTAAAAATGAAGGAATGAGAAAGTACCTAAGAATTGAGAGAAATGACGAAGAAGCTAGACTCAACTCTTCAAAAAGCCTCCACCGAGAATGACACTGGAAAAACATCAGAAACTCCAAGAAAGCTTGAAAAGAAGAAGGCCAGAAAGGAGAACTTAGAGAAGAGCGAAAATCCTATATCATTTTGAAAACTGGTATTTAAAGGAAGAAAAGCCCCAGGCACGAAGATGAAGAGGCTGCAAACGGTTGGGTAATCAAGGGCTAAATGGTAAAACCACCTCCGAACGCATTTAATAAATGCAATCATGACCAACGAAAGCTCAGAACGGCGCTCGTTCCACGATGCACGAACCGCCAATGAGAGGACAACACGTGGGAATTTGTAACCGTCATTGCAGGCAAGAAGCAAAAGGTCAGGTCAATACGATAAGATCAAACCCGAGCTTGACCAAGATGTCGCAGATCAGACTCGAGTTCAACCATGATGTCGCAGCCGAAAGTCACATCACGGCCAAGAACGACGAAATCAATAGCTCGGCGAAAAATTCACGCCTTGCTGACATATCAAATGTCAAACACATGATCCAATCTTTGACCCAGCCGACCTGAAACACCAAATACACGAGCTCAGCAATGTCGACGCCGACACGATATCTCAACACCCCGGCATTCTGAGATTCATAATACCGAGCTGGGGGGAAACTGTTATAGATATATATCATATCCTAACTACTCACCTAAGAATCCACTAAGAGATAAATACATAATTATCTCAACAATATTAAGCAATTAAATACTCAAGATAAGGACCTTATCCCAACAGAAAGGGAGCTGAATCCTAACGCCATCTGGGAGATCTCAAAGGCGCAAGCATATGAAGGTAATCCTTATAAATAAGAGCCTAAAGACCCTAGGTACACACTTTGAACCTAATTATTATTACTGCCAACACTGTGCACACACCCACGTCCCCGACATTGTGCGCAGTGATTGGGATATTGGCCATAGGCCAAATACATACCTATTCTTACGGTATCTCTGAGCGCATACCATACGGTATAGCAATACGGTCTTTCTAGGACCGAACAATACTAATTTTCATCTCACTGGAATTGTAAATTCCATCTTATGTTAATCAAATGTGTTAATATCCATGGATAATTGCAATGTTATTCTTTTCAACACTTAGGAGTTAGGATGAGGTGGTTTTAGCGATTCACGATGATAGCTGTTGCGCAATAATCGGCAAGTGTACCGATCGTTTCAAGTAATAAAAGGGTAAGTACAGTATCGTCTCCACGAGGATTGAGGCACTAAATTTATTATAACTATTCCTCTCTTGTTGGATTAATAAAATGGCTTAAGGAAAATTGTGGTTTGTGAAATAATGAGAACAATTCTAAAAAATGTAAATAATTCAAAGGTTCTTTTAAAACTCAAGAACAAAAGATTAAAGGTTGAGAAAATATTTGAGAAAATATTGCGATAAAGAGACGCCAACACCTTTATGATACCCACCTTGCAACTTAGATTACATTTACGTTTACCTATTCAATTGATCAAACAATTCATCATTTTTTATATGATTAGTTAAACCCTAATTCTTTAGTGACTTTAACCTTATTAACTCTATTAGAATCCTAATCCCTTAGAAATTCCCTTTCAAGTTAAACATTAGAATCAATGAATCTTTAACATTTGCGGTTCATATAGCCATCCCTAGTGCATACATGAACAGTTATCTTACCTATTGTCAGAAATTAGAATTCCAATATCCCTATTGAAAATCCTAACCCTCGCAATCCTAATAGATTGATCGGTTCTAAAAGAATTATGGAATGAAGAACAATGCAAGATAAATTCAATTTAAATAGATAAGCATAAATTCAACCAAACTACAAGGGGTTCACATCAAGGGTTGTGACCCTTACCACAATAATAAAAAGACTAGCCAGACATATTCATGTCTCACAATTCAAATGATAGAAAAGAGTTCATGAAAATATAACCAGAAGAAGGAGAAGAAGAATTCTTGGATCTTCAATCGCCAAGAGATTGCTCTCCGATATCCGCTTTTCGTAATTCTCTCTGTGCAAAAAGTGTCTCCTCCCTCTGTTTCTGATCCTTTTATTAGATTTTGGGAAAAACCTAATTCCAATTGCTCTCCAATTGGGCCTCTTTTGCGTAATTCGCATCAAATTAAAAATAAAAAGTATCGCCCACGCAATTTGCGCCAGCATCAGCGCAAATTGCATGGAGAAACAGGGAGTAAACTGCCAAGTGGCGCGATTTGCGCCAGACTTCGCGCAAATTGCGCCACCTTCATGCAAATTGCACTGCACCAATTGTGCCAGGAAACAGAAGTGATTTGGACCAAATGGCGCGATTTTCTCCACTCTCAGTGCAAATCGCACTGAGATACAGAATCTTCAGGTTGAAATGGCGCGATTTGCGCCATGCTCCGCGCAAAACGCGCTGGCTGGAAAAATGCAACTTCTCTCATTCACTTCATTTTTGGTGTTTCCTGCTATTAAAATGCATAAATTGAGTGAGGGAATGATTGAGAAGGAATAAACAATATTTCTTGCATTTATGACTTATTTTCACACATTTATAATTACTTCCTTGCTTCTTTTAACTTAGAAAGCAACATATGCTGGACGCATACCAATAGCCTAATGTTGCTACTCTCAATAGAGTGTTTTATTAGCCATCTCTGAGATAGGGTAGCAAATGTTTTTCCATTATTTTGTTTTTTGGGTAGATATAATTTAGAGGATTTTTTATTTTTTATTCACATATATAGAAAATAAAGAAAAAAATAAGATAATTATGTGAATTGTCTAAATCAAAGATTTGTCTTGCTTCTCCATTTGAATTTTATGGATCACCATACTGATACGTATTAAAACAAATTGTGAAAAATATTCTGATGATCAAGTATTGTTTAAATTTGGTAAGGTTAAATATTTATCGATTGTGAGGAAAAATTATACCGGATATATACAAGTATTTTCAAAGATCAAGATGTAGGGTGTTGGTAGGAAATTAAACCATTATTTTTGTTAAAAAAAGTGATTGACTTCACATACTAAAGTTCCATCTTGCTTCCCCCAATAGTCTTCACTAGGAATTTTAAATTATTTGGTCTATTATATATGTTTAGTTGTGGACGTGGTGACTAGAACTGATTTCATGCTATATTCGTTATTCATTCTTATATGCCATGAACTTCTTGCTCATGTCCTCTTTTGAAGTAATATAGGATTTTTCTTGTCGGTTTTGATGAAGTGATAATTCCTTGCTTCTCGCAGATTTTGTTCAGACTCTAATCAAGAAGAAGCGGTATATTGAAGCTTGTAGATTCATTTGTACATATAAGTCGCGTGACAAGAATCATCCCATTGATCTCTTGCGAGAATATGTGCAGAATGCAAAAAACAAGTCCACTGAAATCAAGGTTCTTTTATTATTATTATTATTATTTTTATTCAAATTATATTTCATTAAATATTTCATCTTTATATATGTTTATCGTGAACTTAGGATAAGGCCAGAGATCAAGAAACTGCTAGTCTGGGAACTGTTCTACAATACATTTCAGACAACAACCTACGATGTGGTGATCCACTTAATGAGATTCAAGATCGCATTCTTGAGTTACAAAGTCAGAAGGCAAATAGCATTTGTACTGGCACCAGCGCCTTATCTCCAAAAGTGTAACAACCCAAAATTATGAAACGTGGTAATGAAAACTAGTTGGGGTGTTTTAATTCAATATAAAATTTACGAAAGAACTACCTGCATTATTATTAAACTTGGATCGTTAACCAAAAAGGATCAATCTGATTAGCATTTTCTTTTCATGTGTTTTGGGTCTTTGAACTTGTTTGGGTTAACTATTTAAAAACAAAAGACGTAGTTAGGTTTTGATTTACCCTTCTTTCCAATTGTTCATCTAGATTAATGACTTTTGATCTATTATTCTAAATTAATCAAAACCCAGTCGCTTATTCTAAATCCTTAAAGAAGTAACCCAAAGAAAGTATTAAGAGAAAGGAAAATTAACATAATCATTAAAATAAAAAGAATAATTGTGAACAAGTTCTATCAATAAGATATTCAATTGGATTCCACCGATCCCTGCCTACAAAAGAACTCTAGTTAGACTTAGTAAGATTAAAAACAATAAAAGGATAAGAAGGTTCCCCAAACATCTTTAAAAGCATGTGGTGAATCTTAGCATTTCTCCAATCCTAATCTTGCCTCCATGAACCACTAAACCTTTGAAGGAAGTAATTTTGCAACCAGTTCCCTCTAACCTTAGATGCTAGCCTCTTGTGTTTTCAACAGCATTCCAAGCAGAGTGTTCCATGTCCTTCATAGAGATTCGATTCCACCTGCTGTCCCTTCAAACGGCACCGATGGAAACAATCCACCAGCCAGCCCTGGTAATGACCATTCAAGTCTAGAATCTAACATCCTCAACCGCAAGAATCATGAAGAAGTGAGAATCCGAGCACCTATTAGAAGATATGTTGTCAACAACATTGCAAGCAATATATCATTCCTCAAGAGAAGAATTGATATGCCTCCAGCATATATATGATTTTAAGTCAAAAAGAGAAAAAATCTTGATCAATCTTGAATAAAAAAGCCCATGTTTGCCATTAAATTGATAAATCCTAATCAAGTATCTTGTAACTGATTTTATTATATTTTTGTAGGAAAAAGACGAGAAAGGGGCCCAATTAATAACAAAGGGAAAACACAACTCTGAAGCCACCGCGCTACTAGCGCAGCACTAGCGTTATCAGCGCCAGCATCATCTTTCAACCATGCTATCAGCGCGAGACTCGCGCTAGTAGCGCGAAGCTACTGCCTCCAAACAATAGTCCCACGCTATCAGCGCCAACCTGGCGCAAGTAGCGCGGGAAGCACGTGACAATTTTAAACCCTGCATCAGAGGATATCTGAAGGAGATCGTAAATGGAAGATATGATTAGGATTTCTAAACAAGGGAAGAAAGTCTATAAAAAAAGACTATGCACCCTGAGGAAAGCATCTTTGGCGGGAGAGAATTGTGAGAATCAAAGAATTGAGAGAATTCTTGAAGGCTCACATTGGAGATCAATGTTTGGTGGAATTTGAAGATTGAAGACAATTGATTCTTACTCTTCATCTTCTTCTTTTCTTTCTGTTTTATGAATTCTTTTTATTATTTTGATTTGTTAAAGTCAGATATGTCTGGCTAATTTCTTTTTGTAGTTGGGATCACAGATCCAATGTGAATCCTTTCTAGTTTTTAAATTGTTTTTATAATTAATTTAATTTATTTAGTTTTATTCTACCTGTGTTAATTTTTTCATATCCTTTATAGAATTGATCATTCTATTATAGGATTTTGAGGGTTAGAGCTCATAATAGTAATATTGGGGTTTTAATCTTGACAAGGGTAGAATAACAATCTGTGTATGATCTAGACATAGGCTTACATAGATTGCAGATTTTTAAATTCATTTGCTTAATGCTTAATTCAAAAGGAATTACTAGGACACTAGGATTCTAATTGGGTTAAAGGGTTGAATACACTAAGACATTAGGGTTCAACTATTTAATAGGGAAATAATGAATAGTCTGAGCTAATAAATTAGATAGTTATAAAATTTAATTTAGGAAAATAAAGGAGGATCGGAGGTGAAGTACATCCTGACTGCAGTTTCTTTTACAAATTCAATTACTCATATTTTTTTGATGTTCTTGATATTTCTTGAATGTGTTTCATTCAAATTCCTGTTAACAAATATTTTTTCAATTAAATTGGGTTTTCCAAATTAAGGGGAATAGTTAAATTAATACTTAGTGCATTAATCCTCGAGAGAACGATCTTTACTTATCACTTTATTACTTGGAACGAGCGGTATACTTGCCGATTTCGCAACAAGACTCCACATTCTGCCCCTTCAAATACAATCCGCAAAAAACCTTTCATCTAACTTTTATTATGTCATTTCAAACAAGGGTTTTTATAAGAGTTATGTTGTAAGAAAAGTGATTGTCTAATCTTATAGAGATTCGTTTTGCGTGCCGTAGTTTTTTTTTTAATTCAAAAAGTGTGGGCCCCACAAAATATTGTGTGTGTAGAAAACTTTCTTGTGTCATGTTAAATGATAAATGCAAACCCCTTCAAACAAACATCCTAGTAGCTAGAATTAAGGCTGATAGTTTCTTATGGGTTGTTTCTAAAATTCATGTTTTGTTCGGGGTGGATAAGGAACGTAAGTTGCCAATAAATCTTTATATGATTCAATAATTGGCTTCTTTGATTCTCTGTATTATTCTTATTTCTCAAAGGTTGGTTTCAAAATAAGAAATAAAGGATGGTACTATTTTTCTACATATATGCTTATGGTGGTATTTTATTTATGTAGAACTTTCTCATTTATATCCTCTTCCTCTACTTCCTATATTCTATAAGTGATTCAGATAGCCATTTAACTTCATTCTCAATTTTGGATTTTCAATTCGTCCAGGTAGCTTTTAGTTTGTGAAACTCTTTAAAAAGTAAAGAAAGAAAAAATGAGTGCCACGTGTCCTTATCAAGTTTGTTCAACATCAAACTATAGAAGAAACCCAAAATTTTAGGAAATATCAGTCGAAACACAAATTTTAACCTAAAATATTAGAAGGTTATAAGTTTTTTTTTTCATGCAAAATATATTGTGATTCTTTAAAAAGAAAAAAAAAGGTCATTATAAAAATTCTTTTCAACCATGCAAAGTTATTATTAAACAAATCGAGAAGGATTCGCTCATGACAACTATTATGTTCCCTAGCATCGTTTCTGAAAAGAAACAATTTTTTTCTCTTTTTGTGCCATGAAACAGTTTCTGAAAAAAAAAAATTTGATAACATGTTCTATTTTTATTCGTAGAATGAGAATTGTGTTTGATAACACAACAAATAATATAATAAAAAATCATTCATATTAAGCATAAATCTTTTTTGGACCATCACTTTCTTATTCATATGGTGTGGTTGTGGTGGCAGCAGCGGCGACATGGTGATGGTGACGGCAATGGCTATGGCGATAGTGGTGGCATGATGGTGGTAATGGCATGGTGGTGGTGGTGACAGCAGTGACTGCGATGATTGTGGTGATGGTTGATGATAGTGGTGGTGGCGGTGGCGAGGTGATGGTAGTGATAGTGACAGTGATGGCATGATGGTGGTGGTGACGGTAGTGGCTGCGACGATGGTGGTGGTTGTTGGTGACGGTTGCGATGGTGATGATGGTGGCTGTGGTGGTAGTAGCAACATCGTGGTGGTAGTGGTGGTGGTGGCGATGACATGGTGATGATAGTGATGGTGGTAACGATAGTGGCTGCAAAGATGGTGGTGGTGGCTACGGCGACGGTGGTGGTTATGGCAGTGGCTGCGGCGACTGTGGCGGTGGCAATGGTGTGGTGATACGGTGATGGTAATGATGGTGGCAGTGGGAGAAGGTGGTGGTGGCATCCTCATGGTGGTAGTGGTGACGATGACACTGGTGGTACGATGACGGCTGAAACGATGGTGGTGGTGGTCATGTCGGGATGATAATGGTGGTGGTGGTGATGGTAGTGGTGGAAAGTGATTGAAAGAGACAACTTTTCTCATTTTGCGCTCGAGAATAAAAATACAGAAGTTTTTTTATTCTTTTTTCTGTTCTCCGGCACAAAAATTAAACCAGTTCATATCGGGAACAAAAAAATAAACCAATTTTACCAAACGAGTTTTCTTTCCATTACTATTCGTGGGAACAAAAATTAAAAAAAAAATTTAATTTCGGAAAGATTGTCATGCACACCCTAAGTTAATTATAATTCAAACATACACTCAATTTTTGTTTTCCTTTTTAATTAACAAGAACTGGCTATCAAACTTCACGTAAATCATCACACGAAGAGGGTTACTGTTGTTGTTTTTTTTTATTTATAAATTACATATATCTTTTACCGGAAGCAATTCTATTTGAATTAAGAACATTCATATTATGATAGAACTAGCTATTCTATAAAAGACCTTTGTTTTCCATTAATTCCCCCTAATATTAGCTTTAATTTTTTTTGGCTGATTTGGGTGCTATCATCAGATCTCCTCATATTTAAGTATTTTGATTTCTTAGTTAGTCTTTGGCTCTTTGCCTAATCTGTTTAAAAAAAATCAGCACACAATTTTTTAACTTTAGGCCCAAATAAAACTGCTAGGAATCTAACCTAACGAGAGAGACATACAAACCCAATCACCCACAAAGAAAACCTTGATTAATTAAGGTAATTAATATAAAAATAAAATAAAATTCAAAAATTGCAGGAAAGAAAAGACAAATACAAAAAAAGCGTTGGGCGTTGAAATGTAGGAAAAATGGAAAACTTGGTGGAAAATCTGTGTCTCTAAGTGGGTAATAGCTCAGGATTTAAAATATATTTTTATTATTTCTACTAGATTCAACACGTTATTTTTTAAAATTAGAAAAAAAAAATAACACTAAAAAATAATCTACCTGACCATATTTATTTTAATAATTTTTATGATTAATAAAATATGAGTGAGTTATTTTTTACCTTTTAGTAAGAAGGTAACTAACAGTTAAGAACTAAAATTTCACTCTAGTTGTATATATATAAAAAAATTCACTCAATTAAATGCTGCTCTATTATTAATAATAAAGGTTTTTGTCAAAATCTTTGACATGGTGGCGGCTATGTATAGATGTTAGGGGCAATTTGGTACACGGAATTGTGAGTGGGGATACTAGGTTTTTCAATTTTTTATTTACATTATTCATTACTTATTTTTAATTGTAATTGTCTTTGATTAAAAAAATAATGAAGTAAATTCTTAATTAGTTATATCTTATTTTCCTATTATATTTAATAGTTAATAATGATGATAATTACCTTTCAGACCAATTTTATTATAGTTAATAAAAACATAGATAAATAGTTCGTGTTTGGATTAAATTGTATTAGGATTACAAAAAAAAAAAAAAAAAAGTTGTGCTGTGACTGTGAGTTCTCTCCCTCAGCTTACTAAAAAAAAATTATAAAAAAAATATCTTTTAAAATAATTTTAAAAATTATTATTCATTTTTTTGTAAAATAATACTGCAATCAAACATTCATATATATTCTTCATTTCTTTATGATCCAAGTGAAGAACTCGTTTATGTTGAATTAAAATCAACAATTTGACTCTTAGTTTTCTAAGGGCCTCCGTTACACCGCAAATGTGTTTATATTTTTCCAAGTCCATTAGTCGTCTATATATGAATCCAAACTGAAGCCATTCTCCCTTGACTTTCACAGTTCACACAGCAAAGAGTGAAACAGCTAAAAACCTTTTTTTTTTTTTTTTTTTCATGGCTTCTAATATCCTTGTCAACTCAAGCTCACTTCCACTGTTGTTTTTTTCCCATTGACATATAGCCATAGCAAATGCATTTTTCACAAACTCTAGATAAGGGGAAATGATTTCGCGTTTTAGAGCTCGTGGGCTTTTAAAAAAAATTACGGCTTTTTTCTTAAATAATTTTTTTAAAAGATAAAATTATTTTAACGTCAAAAT